TTTTGAAAGTATTCATTAGAGTGTAGTGTTTTTTAAGTTGGAATTTCAAATTTTTTAATGAAAATTGACAATGATATGCACTTCTCTCTTTATATATAAAATATAAAATAAAAATTATCAATTGTTGATATTATAATAAAATAAAATAGTTCTACTAAACAATTGCACTAGTTGAAACATTAGAAGGGAACGCCTTAGCCGCAGTTCCCCTCCTCCCTCTTGTACCCATATTTTCTTCTTTAATCATTTTTTATTCCTTGTTTCTCTCTTCTTTTTTCATGATTCTGCTTTTTTCTTTTAGGTTTTTTAGCAAGAGTTTGCGCCTCCCCTTAAGGTTGGCTTATGTGGGAGTTCATCCCTCTAATCATAATTCATATGGGTTAATTTTATTGGTATTTTATATCTTTTTTTATTAAAAGTTCAAAGCAAAATAGATGATTGGTGTACATTGTATTACTTTGGAATGCTTTTTAACAAGGGTCTATCTCAATAATTATCTTTTCATCTTATGGTCTTAGTGAATTATGCTAACTTGTAGCGTCATTGTCAAATCAAGATTTGAGTTTGGCTATCATTTTTATAGAACCATTAGATTGTTTTATTATTAGATGTTTAACCAGGTATTTTACACTTTTAAGTGAGGTATTGTAGTGCCTCTAGGTGCACTACACCACTTGGGTTGACTTATAACCCTTGTGATTTTTTATTATTAATGAATTAATTAATTTTTTCAAAAAAAAAGGGGGTAAAATAAGGGCTATAATATAGAGACAACTTTTTTATATGACTTTCACATGTCATTAAATGAATGGATGTACTAAATATCATAGGTTCCAAATAAATTAAAAAAAGCTAATTATTTAAGTGATATGTAAGGTTATACAAAAAGTAATGCGAAAAAAAAGTACAAAAAGGTTATTTCTAAATCATTTTCTTTAAAATAATGAGGCAATATTTAGTAAAACTATCTTAATAATTAGATTTAAGTAATTACTAATGCTTACATTTAGGACATAAGTTGTTGGATAAATTTTTTAATTTTGATGTTGATAAAACAAAGGGAAAATTTTCAAAATCTTAATTGCATAATTGAAAGTGAATTAGTGTTTTGTATTTTTTTTTATAAAATAGAGATTTTATGAAAATTAAAATTAAAGAGATTACAACTGAATCCCTATATTAGGGCACTATAACCTAAGGATAGAAACACTACCTATAGCACTAATAACTAATTTATACTACGCTCGTGACAGATATAGACAATTAAGTAAAGAGAGTCATCTAAAATTCGAGATTATAAGTGCAATTGCTGTATGGACCTAAACAAGGCTACTATTGTAGAAAAGAAAGTCGCAATGAGTATCATAAGCTATTGGATATCTTCACCTATTAGGTTAGTTTCAAGGGGAAAGGAAGATAATTCAGTATTACTAGTCATTTTCTCACTAAATGTTGTCACATCAAATTATAGCTATTAGCTTGCAAGAGGGATTTGGTATGAATGGGATTTTGATTTCTTTTAATTATGGGTGAATTTTCAAAATTTAGTCTCTTAATCACATTAGCCATCCTTGTATTTTTGGAAATCAATTTGAATTGATTTTGCACTTGATTATGAAATTTGGTTTCCATTAATTTTTCAAATTGTGAATAAAAAGTATGATATTCTTTTGGTTTGACAAACTTGATACACTTTTAATCATTTAAAACCTTTCTACGATGAATATCAATACTGCATTTTATAGTATCAATAATATGCAATGCCTAATTCATGTTTACAGTTAAGGAATTGATACCTTGTTTTAGAAGTATCAATGTTATGATGCAATTTTTAGGTACAATCTATGTCAATAATAGAATGCATAATATGGTATTGACACTATCATGCACAAGTTAATTACACTTGAAATCAAATTAGATCCCAAGTTACCAAACAAAAGGTCTAATAGCTAATTGGCTAAAATTGTGTCATTCAACCTAGAAGATTAGATTTGCAACCCTAGCATTCAAGAAAAGCAATCAAAGCACTCTTACCTAATTTTTGCACTTGTTCTTTGTTGTTTTATCAATCATGATCGCTACTGTTCTTGTTACTTTTTCATTAAACTATGAGAGAGGGATTGAGTAGTTACTTGTTAAATCTAAAATTCATCCTTGAGGAAAAGGGAGGGTTAAGATATTTGTAACAGTGGATTGAATGGCTAATAAAGCCATTGAAGCTATTGTGATCAATTTCACTATATAGCACCCATAGAAACTCGTGTTAGTGGATTCAAATATCAAGCATTGGAAACTCGAGGATTGGATGTAGGCACCAATGAGGGTGGTAAACCAAGATAAATTCAAAGCATTTGATATTTCTAACCCTATGTTTTTAATTCTTGCAATTTATCTTACTTTATTTCAATTGCTTACAATTGTGTGTGATTGTTCATTGATTTGATTTGAAAAGTTATATATAGTTTTGGAAACCCAAATTACCCTTTCTTGGGTTGCCACATTTGGGGCAACATAAGTGAAATTATATGAATGCATTAGGGCTATTAGTTTTCATGTTAAAATTGAAAAGTCAAGCATGCATTATTGTAATAAATAAGATTTCTCAATAATAATTAAAGGATAAAGAGGAATAATTAAATTAAACTGGTTCAGAGGGAGTATATAAGATAACTGTGTTGTCCTAGATGATGTCAACTCAAGAAAAAGGTGAATTGTATTTTTGAAAACTTATGTAATTATTAGACCAAAATAATGAGCAATCATAAGCACTCCACAAGAAATTGAAGCCTAAGTAAATAAATTGTGGAAATTAAAAGAGTAAGGTTAGAAATATCAAGTGCTTTAAATTTATTATGGTTCAGTACTATTGTTGGTGCTTATGCCCAATCCTTGAGTTTGTTATGCTTGAGATTTGAATACATTTACACTAGCTTTAACATGTGCTAGTAAAATTAGATACAATAGCTTGGGTGCTATCAAACTTTCAATGCTCTTGTAACAAGTCTCTCAACCTTTCCCATACTAAGGATAGATTTTTGGACCTAACAATGTTTCTAAATCTCTCTTATTTGTTATAATGAAATATAGTAAAAATGATCACTGAATAACGCTCTAATTCAATTAGATGCAAGATGATGAGTGGAATATTTTTTGTTTGATCTCTTTCTCATGAGGATTGGAATGCTTAAGGGTTCTTCTACTCTTCAAATATGCTTTTATTCTTCAAAAGGTTAATTAAGGCTTCTAGCCTCTGTAGCCCAAAATGAAAATGAATCAATCTAGAGGGGTTGGAACTTGGATATGAGTGTTGGACCCTTTGCACAAATTTAACAACTTGGTTTCAACTTTCAAGATTCCAAACAATGATGTAAGGTATTGACACTTGAAAGTGAGCATTTTAAGTTTTCATGGGTTAGAAACATTGAGGGTTCTAGAACTTGTAACCAAGGGATTGGAACCATTTTGATAAACTTGAATAATACAAGGAAATTTCATAATTACTTAACTAAAATATACTTAAATAGCAAAGGTAACTTTTTGGAAATATAATTCACAATTATGGTAGATCATGGTAGATTGATTTTAGCTTAGCATGATAATAAACCTTTTGATCCAAAAACAATTAAAATTTAAAATATTACATAGTTAAAACCAAATATAATATCTTACATTCACATTTGATTTGGATCATCAAAAGAAAGAGTAAAAGTTGATGTAGTCCCAACTCTTAAAGAATTTAAAATCCCAAAAATACTCTACCTTTGGTTAATTGTTTTGAAAAGGGAAAAGTATTTTGAAAGTTATCTTTTAAAATTTTTTTTAAGAATATGTTTAAAAATTTATTTTCTAATTAATATTTTTAAAAACCAATCATTAGATTAAAAGTTTTATTATATAAATAATTTATACTAATTTTCAAATTCTTTAATAGGTCTAATCAATTAATTAATTATAAGAAATTTAACATTATTAAATATATGTTGATAAATAGAGTTTCTTTTATCAAAGGATTATAAATGTTAGATCAATATAAAAATTAACATGCATGATCTACATAAATAAAATTTTCAATTCAACAATTAGTTTTGGAAAGCATTAATTAGAAGATAAATTTTTAGGCAAGTCCTTCAAAAAACTTTTAAAAAAAGGATCTACCCTACACTATTCTCCTTTGAAAAACTGATAATCAGATCAAATTTTCTTTGTATAAACTAATAATTAAATCAAAATTTCTATTTATGTGGATTATAGAAGTCAAATTTTCTAGTCAAACTAATGTCTATAACCAATTGATGGAAAAAAAATTATGGATCACACATATCAATTTTGTGTGAATAATAAACTAATTAGATATATTCAATTTAAACTAAAAATTAGTATACATGATATATTTAGATGGGACATTATACACGTGCGCACATAATTGTAAGAATAAGTAATTTTTACACATGCTCATAATTTCGAATAAAGTAAATATTTTGCCAAAAAAATATACGTATCTATTAGATTGATTATTTGATCATATATGCTAAATTTCATATCAATACAATATTAATAATCATTTAATTTTAAAAATTATATTATATAACATATATTTAATGGTATAAAATTTTTGTAATCAATGAAATAATTAAATATTTATATGTGATCAATAAAAAATTTAATATATATATATTTTTATGAATAAAATATTTGACAAATATTCATTTAAAATATATTTTCTTGAATAGAAAATTTAAGAAAGATAATTTAGACAGTGCACTTGGTAGGCAAGAAAAAAGGGGGACAATAAATGAAGGGCCGAGAGAGGGGAAGAGTTAGACACTTAATACAACATCTGTGTTCTGTTGTACCTATGATTTTGATGATTACAAAATACATTTGAATGACTAATTGGTTTATTTGAGTGTGTAGTTAAGTTGTTACAAGATTGCAAGTAAACTTGGATTGAACTAAAAATAGACCAAAAGGATTCAAAATGTGCAGAGAGCCGGCTCTTAAAAGCTGCAGCCGGCTCTGGTGAAATGGAGGTGCAGAGAGCCGGCTCTGAAAGTTGCAGCTGGCTTTACAGGCAAAAATTTGAAGACCGTTGCTTGGCGCGCGCGGAGAAAAGACGCAAAGCCGGCTCCAACTTTATAGCCGGCTGTAAAGGTGCATTTAATGCACAACGGTCGAGTCATTTGAAGATTATTTAATGTATTTAAAGTCAGAGTTGCAAAGCCGGCTCAAAGTTTTGCAGCCGGCTCTCGAGAAAAACAGGATGTGCAGGAATCCTGCAAAACCGGCTCTGGAAGTTTAAGCCGGCTCTACAGAGCCGGCTCTACAGAGCCGGCTCTACAGAGCCGGCTCTACAGAGCCGGCTCTAGGAAGTTAAGCCGACTCTTCTAACAATCCTGCAACTCGAGCTTCACGTCCTGCAGGGCATTTAATGACCCCCAACGGCTAGAAACGACTATTTTCGAGCAAGGGACTATAAATATGGTTGGTAACAGATGTGAAGAAGTTTAGAGAGCATTGTATTGAATATCTTTACCTATGTACATGAGCTTTAACTTGAGTTTTTGATCTTTGAGAAATCTTTGTTTGTAATCCTCTTCTTGTGTTATTAGTGAGTGATCTTGGGGATGTGTTGATTCCTTCAAGAGTGATCTGTAGAAAGGATCTTTGGGATTAAAGTGTAAAGGGGTGAGATTTGAGAGAAACCCTTCTTCTTGTAAATGATTGAGTGGCTCCTTTAAGCCACCATTGTTTTTGTTAGTGGAGAGTGTGGAGGAAATTGTTGGTGAGTGAAGCCAAGGTAGAGGACTAAACTTCAAGTGGTTGGACCGAACCTCTATAAAATCATTGTGCAAGTTCTTCTTCTTCACTCTCTCTTTAATTTTTGTTTGGTGGTTGTAAAGAGGCGAAAATTCTCCAACTCCAATTCATCCTCTCTTGGAGTGCATTGAGTCAACATGTTCCATATGTGAATTGACTCAATTAGATTTTTCACTGACAAGATTTTAAAAGCTCATGATTTGCCAGTACATTAAATGACCCCAACATCTCACAATGGCTAGTTTTGACTAC